GTATATGTGTTTGTGTGTGTGTGTGTGTATGTGTTGGCTGTAGACCAGAAATTTGGCCACACGGACAAATTTAGGCGCATTTTGCTGGACCTGAGCTGGCCAGACTGAAAGCACACCTTAGTGAAGGTGAGTAGAGAGAACAGGTAGTAATGTACCGTCGAGAAGAAGAGCCATACAGACACAGTCTAAAGTGTGTGCGTGTGTGTGTGAGGGAGAGGCGGCCGGACACAATGATAGGGACCAGCGTCTAAGTGCTCACAAGCCGGCTTCAATACAGGCATATTATCAGCTCCATCAAATGGGCATGCACATCTTTCAAGGTATGCACAGATGATATAATGTGTATACTTGTGTGAAGCATTGTTTAATTTAGGGGAGGAGGAGCAACTTGCGCGACGGTCGACCCTGGGCTTTGCGCCCCATTGCGAAGGGGGCTGACGTCAGAAACCTTGACGGTCACCATGCTGAGACCCCAACCATCCCGCATCATGTTGTCCCCCCGTCGGCCACTCTGCTTCTTTTCCATTTCCAGCTACCTTGCCTTCATACTTCCACATACACACGTACGTGTCTGAATGTTGGTACCATTCTGATGTCCTTTAGATGGGCTTACTCATCGGAACTTATTGCATTTCTATTGTCTTAATTAAACTCTAATTACACATTAGACGAAAACAGTTCACTCTAGACGGGGTGGGTGTAAGTGCCTGACAAGTGCTAATACCTCAATTGTACACAGGCTTCTACAGTTAAAGATGCAATTTTAGAAAGGTCAATCCAATACTACTTGCAAATGCATTTGCCAAAATTATGCTTTATTTTTTTTTATTGCATAACCGCATGACAGAGCAGAATATTTTCTACCTACGGATTGAGTAGATTTTCATTGGGAATTCGACTAACTTCAAATCGTTTGATGTGATATTGGGATTATGAGATGAGTTATCTATGATGCATTCACCGTGTTTCGTTTAAGATGATGATGGCCTTGCTTTCCCAAAAGGTCGTATCATCCAGGGTCGACTATACCACCTCAGACGAACTAGGATGAATACATCTCATATAACTTAATTTATTGGCAGTCTCGAAAAATGACGAGATGAATGCTCCACAATAACATAGAACGAAGGCCTCAGTAAGCCGTCGAAATTGAATTGTTCCTGCTTCCAAACGGACTTTCTCATCTGACCATGAACAACACTTTTAGACCGCCCGGGTCTCATAGTCACTGTCAGGGAATACATTTGTTTAATGCCAAAATTTTACCCCTCTGCCAGTCATGGCAACAACAGTCTGGTAAAGTGTCATTTTAAGGCTAAGCTAAATGCACTGGCATTTGATGAAACTATGCGCAATGTCTTTTTTGTGTGTTTATGATTTCAAGGTTATTGGGCGATCTTAAATAAGAGCTTCAGTCAGTCAAAGTCGCTTAATATGATGACGAAAGGATGGTGATGGTGGAGCGAAGTCGAACATTTAATCAGACTCGGACGAGCATACCCTTTGGGAGGCTAGACAAAGTGAAATTCATTGCAACTCTGGGCCTACTCATCTCATCATGGGAATATTCGTCATCAGTCCTCCATACCCTCAAGTCACAAGGGGCCATGAAAGCTCTAATTCAGAGTATTTTCGGCCATAACATTATCTATATGAAGTGTATTCACCATATATCGTAGTTGAAAATTCTCACAATGATGTGAATAAAACGTATGTTTCAATTAAATTTCGCACAGCCTTCGCTTTCCCAAACGGTATTCTCATCCGGGCTGAAGTTTACGGCACTTTTGACCCCGCCTGAGCTGGTGTCATCAGCACCCACAGCGGGACTCGAACCGTGACAGTAACGCGTATAATCTCGACACATCAACCACCAAGCCACATTGTCATGAGTGTCTTTGGGTCACAGGGCAGATGTGAATGGATGGATGAGAACTGCCAGGCCCCTTATCACCTTAAACGAACTAGGGCGAATATACCTAATACATATGATCTACTGGTAGTCGCGAAAACCTACCTAAAAATGGAACCATCAACTTCATATCATGCGGTATGTCATATACCACAGCCACGTCATTACGTACCAACTTCCTAAGTTCCATCTGAACTTTCCGAGTGCCATTAACTTATTGTGTGAAGTTTTAACATCCCACTGGTCGTTAGAATATATCAGAAGCTTTTTCATCACTAG